CGCTCTGCGGGGTCGAGGGGCAGCGGGCTTGACGGATGGACGGGTCTCCCTGCCCAGGAGGCCCCTGGGCTTTCCCACGGGCGACCCATTTAAGCCTCACCTGGGCCCACGGCCAAGAAACCGTCCCTGCCCTCGGGCGTAGAGGCAGGACACGCGGAGCTGCTGGGCACGGTGCCCGGGCACACTGCCCGCCCGTCAGTCTCACTTCCAGTTCTTTCTCCAGTTCTCGGGAAGGCCTGCCCGCCCTCCCTGACGTCCCCCATCACCGCCCTATGCCTGTGCTGGCTTGGGGTCCAAGGGCAGAGAGAGGGACTCCCCGCTGTGTTCCCAGCACCTGGCACACAGTAGGTGCTCAATAAATGCTCTCCAGTGAGTGACGGACGGATGGTCACTGCACAGGGCAGGGCAGGATTTAATGGGGTCGCATTGGAGGAAGGTTCTGGCAAACCCCTCCCTTCCCGCCTCCCTGACCCAGAGGCCCGGGCGTCGCCTGTAGAAGAGGAAAGAAGCTGATTGGGCCCCGGCCAGCGTGGCTCAGTGGTTAGAGCATTGGCCCACGCACCGAAGGGGCCTGGGTTCGATTCCTGGTCAAGGGCATGTGTCTTGGTTGCAGGTTGAATCCCCAGCCCTGGTCAGGGCACAACCAATCGATGTGTCTCTCTCACATCTTTCTCTCTCTCTCTCTCTCTCTCTCTCTCCCCCCTTCTACTCTCTCTAAAAATCAATGGGAAAAAATGACCTCAGGTGAGGATTGAAAAAAAAAAAATAGAAGCGGATTTGAAGGGCAAGGGCCCCGGGGAGCCCAGAGCAGCTGCTGAGACGTGTGGGGGGCACTGGCGGGAGGCCCTCAAGATGAGGCGAAAGCAAGACCTGCCTTCCCTCCCTGGGCTCTGAATGTACCTTCAGCCGGTCCCCGTGAATGACCTTCAGCCGGTTCCTATGAATGACCTTCAGTAGGTCCCCGTGAATGACCTTCAGCCGGTTCCTATGAATGACCTTCAGCCGGTTCCCGTGAATGACCTTCAGCCGATTCCTGTGAATGACCTTCAGCCAGTTCCTGTGAATGACCGAGCCGTGCCTCCGAGCGGCCATCGAGCCAGCGCCCGGCTGCCTTGAACCTGGAGCCCAGACCAGGCGAACTTACCCGGGAGGGAACCGTGGTTTTGTCCCTGCGCTTGAGTCGTTTCGTGCAGCCGGCAGCCTGCTCGTCCCCACGCGTCAGGGTTCCCTGTCACCCCTGACCAGTCACAGCCCCTGGGGACAGCGGCCAGGGGAGTGGGAACAAGACACCCGGGCCCGGGACAGGCGCTGAGGGCGGAGCGGGCTGCCGTGGAGGCCGTGGCGCTCCAGCTGAGGCCTGAGGGGAGCAGGCAGCCGCTGGGAGGACCTGGGACAGACCAGCAGGTGCAAAGGCCCCGGGGCAGAGAAGGGGCGGAGGAGGCGTTGCCATCGGGTCTGGGCGACATGAGGCCCTCGCCGTGGACAAAGGCAGGGGGTGGCTATGAGACGGGGAGGGGGACCCCGACATCCGTAGGAGGAAGGCAGCGCTGTTGGTGCAGAGAACATGACACGCGACGCTGACTCTAGAGCATCGGTTCTCAACCTGTGGGTCGCGACCCCTTTGGGGCCGAACGACCCTTTCACAGGAGTCACCTAAGACCATCTGAAAACACATATATAATTACATATTGTTTTTGTGATTAATCACTATGCTTTAATGATGTTCAATTTGTAACAATGAAATTGGGGGTCACCACAACATGAGGAACCGTATTAAAGGGTCGCGGCATTAGGAAGGTTGAGAACAGCTGCCCTAGAGGGCTGTTTCATTCCCAGCCCGGGGGCCTCGGTCCGTAGCGGAGCCTCTGCTTTCTCGTTCTCCTGGCAAACAAGGGGCGCAGCATTGCTTCAGGCCCCGCCCGGAGGTTGTTTGTCCTGTTTCGGTCCGTCCCGAGGTCAGGGGCCGCTCCCCGGGCGGCGGCTCCGGCTCCGTTGGACCGTGGCTCCGTTTATTTTTATCCTCACACGTGGGCTCTGGGTGTAAGGCCACGGGGATGGCGGGTCCCTGCGTGCTCTTTCCCCGGGAAACCCAACCCCAGTCTGGTCGTGAGACAAACATCACAGATCCCGCAACGCCTCGGCCTTCCTCAAGGTCACAGACAGCCAGGCACTCGGGGGAAACCGTCGCGGCTGGGGGCAGCCTGGGCCCGGAGCCGAGGAAAGATGGGGGGACCTGGGGGGACGGGAACAGAGCGTGGAGTCCAGTGATCATGATGGGTCAGTCCTGACGCGTCCGTGGTAACATCGCATCGCCGAGCGTCACCGGGAGTGACAGCAGACACTGGGCGGGGGGTGGGCGCCACTGTCTCGGAACTTTCCCTGTAAATCTAAGACTGTTCTACATTAAACATTGACTTTAAAAGCCCACAGTGAGTCACACCAACAAAAGCGAATCGGGAAAGGAACCAGGAGAGCGAGCCTTGGCGACGCCGGGCGTCCGTCTCGTTATGGAGCCCGAATGCCGTCGCCGGACGCGCCTCATGGCCTCACCAGACCCGAGCCCCCTGCGAGGCCCACCTGCCCTCCGAGTACGGCTTCCTGACTAGCTCCCCGTCACGCTGTGTGGCTTCAGGCCAGGCTCCCGACCTCTCTGGGCCTAGTTTCCTCCTTGTGCACCATCTGCGGCCACAGCATCTGCTTCCCCCGCAGCGTCGTGAGGGGTGGGGTGATCCACACGCACTGATCCACTTGGCGGATCGGGCAGCGCTGATCACAGACCCGAGCACGGCGCCCTGCGGGCCCCACGCCCCAGACGGTCCCTCTCGTCTGCTCACAGCCCCCCCGCCGCCCGCCGCACTCCTTGGGCCTGACTGCGGCCCCGGGAGGGAGGTCTGGCGGGTCTGACACCTAGTTTCCTGCTGGAGAAGCTTAGGCCCGGGGTGCGGGTGACCCGTCTCGGGGACTCTGAGCTCGTTCCCATCCACCCACACGTCCCAGGGCCAGGCCTCCACCCCCATCTTCCCCCCGGACTCGCGGGCCCAGCAGTTTCCCCGTCTTCTTCCCACGGACCCCGCACACCCGGCCATCAGCTCCCCAGCCACCCCTCTCGGGCCCGTCCCGAAGTCTCCGGTTCGGATGACCAACCGCCTCCTGCCAGGAAAGGCCATGCCGCCTTCACTCACCAGGCTGCATACAGGCCCCTCCTCCCCGTGCCAGCCCCTGAGCCTGTGGCCGGTCAGGCCGCCTGACCTCTCTGAGCCCCACTTTCCGTGAAATGCAGGCGATTAGCAGGAGTCACAGAGCCGCGGGGCCCTGAGCTCGGCCGTGCGAGACCCCCAGCCCCGCGCCCAGCCCAACGGAGCCGCAAAGAGGTTTTCCCTCCTTCGTGGTGAGTCACGGGGCATCTGGAGACGGCCCCTGCCTCCCACACCGAGCACAGAAGCATCGCTTAACATATAAAACAACATTTTGTGGTTATTAAAGCAATAAGCATTGATTGCAAACACGACATAAAATAAGAAACGGAGACAATACCTGGAGGAATGATGAACCGGAGGAAAATTACGGACAACTCATCCCCTGGAGCCATTAAGCTGGTGGTGAATCGGTTTTTAAGCTTCTCTATCTTCGTCTCCTCTGGAGAGCGGAGGCAGCTGCAGGGGTGGGAGAGAGTCACGAAGTGCCCGTGGCCACGGGCCCACGGCCGCCTCGCAGGCAGCACCGTCCCTCCCACCCTCACCCCCACACCCCCGTCGATAAACTCAAATCCGGCCGTCCCCGCGCTGCGCGGGCCTCTGCGTCCGTGTGCCCCATGTGCCCGTGGTCCCTGTGACGGCCCTGCCGCCACTGGTGTGTTTGTTCCCAGCTTTGCACACCCAGAGGCTGAGACTGACGGAGCCTGAGCCAGTGGCATCACCGCCCGCCCAGCCAGGCGCCCTGTGGGGAGACGTCCCAGGGGAAACCGCGGGGCAAGGGAGTGAG